AAAAAATTATTTTTTTAGACAAAAGCACTTTTACACAATTTCAGTAAGGATCTAACAGAAAGGTATGGTACAAATTAGATAAAGAATTTCATTAATCTTATATTGCTGTTATTGTAAAACACAGTCCTAATTTAATGTTTTGGATATGGTTCCGAAAATTGGAATCGAATAGAATTGAACAAAATCGCATGAGGTTCGAAACACTATTAAAAATGATGGTGGGGTATACCCCACCTATTAAATTTAATATAAACTTGAGAATTGAATACAGAATCGAAGAGAATCATTAGGATCCTTAGTTTTGGAGAAGTTTTTCATAGTTTAGATTTGGTCCTATCATTTCTTATTACAGTTTGGTTATTGACAATATTTATGCTAAAACTATTAGATATTATATAGTTTCCACACTTTATAAATATTTTTCTTACAGTGATGGAACCTTTCAAGAAGATAATGATACTCCACATTAAAAAATTGCTAAAGAAGCAATTCAAAAAACTGAAATTGTGATGCTGCTGTGGTTATCTTAAAGTCTTGACTTAAATCCAATAAAGAATCTCTGGTCTGAAATGAAAACTATGGTTTTTTGTCATACCCTATTACCATCAAATCTTAAAAAACTTAAAAAATATATTAAACAAGCTTGGAAAGAACTCTCTTTTAAATATTATAAAAATTTGATCGATAATATGTCTTAACAAATTTGAGCCGTAATTGCTACAAAGAAAAATATAATGAAATATTAATTTTATTAGCTTTAAATTGATTGATATACAAATATATCATTTTAATATAATAATAATATTATATATATTATCTTTAAATAATAATAACAATAATAATAATAAACTGTTCTTATAATAATAATCATCTTTTGTAATTTGTGATATTTTTGATATGCTACAAAATTAATGAATTAATCTGATAATTCAAGTAATTTTTTGGTCATATATAATGATTTACAAAAAAGTTTGTATTTGCTATGTCAATTTTAATTAATATCAACTTTATGAATTTTATAAGTGCTTCTATTACAGTATCCAGCAAATTAAATCTTATTCTAAAGTTTATAATCCATAATAAAATCTATATAAAATAGATATCAGCAAATTTATTAGAATGTGATAGAACTTCATAATTAGGAGTTAAATAATTTTCAAATATGTTATCAGAACTGCTGTTAAATTCATTATTAACTTCAGATTCAGATTTATCATTTTTGACTTCAGATTCAGATTCATAATTTTTGACTTCAGATTCAAATTCGTCATTTTTAATATTAGTATCATTTGATATTGAATTTTGTTGATTATTGCTTAAAGTTATAATTTGATTTAGTGAAATATTCTTAATTCTTTGCTGAACAGTAAATTCTTGATTTGCCGAGTTTTAGTTTTTGTTTTTTGATATTTATACAAAAACTTTGCTTATGGGTTAACAAGTAATCTATTGCATTTATTACAGTTGCAAATAACTTTGTTTTTTTAGATTTTTTTTATGAACTTTCATTAAATAAAGCTAAGATTAAATACATTCTTGCCATTTCAATTGACAAATATTAAACATAAAGTAATAAAAGTCATCATTTAACCACAAATTGCCAAATATTAATAAATTTTAATATAATATACAAATTTTATAGCATAGCTAGTCTTATAGTAATATATGTACTAGGCAGTGTTAAACTGCAGATTAACTGTAGAGACATAAAGGGTATTCATATACCAACCAATTTCTGGTTAGTTTGTAGAGACACTTGATGTCTGTCTGGATATTAAATGTATCAATAAAGATTACATGCCATACGCATGTTCCACTTTAAAAAAAAAAAAAAAAAAAAAAAAAAAAACAAATTTTAATATAATATAACAAATTCTTATTTAATAAAATTAAATAACAAATATAACAGGATGAATTTAAATATAACAATATTCAATGATGAATTTTTAATATAAAAATACCAAATAAAAAATTATAATAATATAAAATGATACAAATAATGATATAATAAATGTTGAATTATATGACAAAACAATACATAAAATTCAATTAATGAAAAAAATCTCTCCTGATCACATCTGCTTTGTTAAAAAATTTTCTTTTATGGTAATTTTAAGCAAAAAAAAATGGTTTACTCTCTTTATCACAAGTAAGTCCCAGCTCAGGAACTCAAAAACTTTCAAGACAACTAGTGCAGTGGAATGGAACCTCTGGTCAATGTCTATTTAAGTTTGGAAGTCTTGCTTATTCTTTGGTTACATGAGAAAGGCCCGTGGCAATTCTCTTTTCTTCAGTTTTCTTGCACCCCTCCTTACCCTTATTATATTATAAAAACTATATACATCATCACTATTATACTCGCTAAGTCAAATACTTTCCAAAACATATATTAAAACAAAGTTAGTAGGTTTACTGTTTGTTTTAAGTCAACCCATGTACACAATATTTTCATAGCAATATTTGCTATGCCATTTTCAATTTCCAAAAAATTTTCATCCAAAAAACTGAAATCAGTTTACCCCTTCAATATGATCAGTGCTCTTCAATTATCCAATCAGATTTTGCTTAAAGATCAAACAAAACTCAAACAAGCTTAAACTGGTTTTGTATTATAACAACAATCACAACAACAATAACAACTAACATACTACCAACAATTATAATAACAAACAATATCATATATACTTCATTATCTATAGTAACTGAAAAGCCAGAGAGATGGAACCATGAGCCTATCTGGAAGCTTCCTTGGGAAAATAATTGGTTTTTTACTTATAGATTTTATAGTATGTTTGATTTAGTTTTAGTTTTAGTTACTTTTATTTTTCTTTTCAATTTTTTACATTTAAAAAATCAAAAGAATTTGCAAATTTTCTTGGAATGGTAGGCATAGTCGCTACTCAACCTTATCTAACATATTAATATTGATTTTGAATTTTTTTATGATATTAGTTAGATATTGTAAAGTAGGCAAGCTAGCATTTAATTTGTTGTATGCAATGCATCCAAGAGATGTTGTTTCTTTTATGATGTATACCTTGTTATATACAATATCAAATAAAGAAATAATGTTTACCTACTGGAAAAACCTCTCCCAAAAAAAACAATACATAAAATTTCATATAAATATCTTTATTAATTTAATTAAAATTAATTTTTACTTTTCTGTAGTCCACACTTGAGTATGAACCCACCTTCATAGTGTAAAGTTGGTATTTGGGTTAGAATAAAAGCAGTGTGTCAGTTAAATTAGACTGTTTATATAATAGTTATCTGTAATCTGTTAATCTACAATAAAATCCTCGCATGTATCGTATTTTAGCTCTCAAAAAAAAAAAATCAATCTTTACTAAAATGTCTAAATAACAAAAAAAGCTATCTGATAAAAATGTTTATAGAGAAAAGTCACAATATTTGTTATCTTTATATCTTCAGAACATTCTTTACAATTCCAACAATCATTTTCATTTATTATATTAGAAGTGCATGCAACAACCACTAGTATCAAAGGTTCAATTCCTATAATAGCAGCCAAATTACTCAGAAGAAGACTATTTCTTTCATTACACACAAGATTAATAACTGAAGTTGTATAAGTATTGACTTCTGAACTGAAGTTTATAACTTAAACTTGAGAGAAAATAAAAGAAGGTACAATTTAAATTATTTTTGAATTATAAAATCTACTTTTATTAATTTGTCAATTTATTTAAAAAATAAAGAGTTATATACAAAGATAAATAAACTAGAAAAAGCAAATGCTAATTTGAAGACACAATTAATTATACTGAAATATATAAATAGAATATTTTTCAACAAATCAAATTAGCAAAAGAAATATATTGAATATCTAAAAAAAAAAAAAGAATAACTAAAACTATATAAATTGATATTAGAGCCAATAGTAATTATAGATAAATCTCAAAATTAATTCAAACCTGAATATTAACCTGAACCTGAATACCAACCCAAACCTGTGCCTGAAGCTGAAACTAAATATATAATTTCAGATTTTGAAAATGTATTGAAGATATTAAAGAGCTGAAGAATTTAGTTCAAAAAAAAGAATAAAGGTGTTAAAAAGAGTAAAAATTTCAAAAAAGGCAAAATAATAGAAACAGCCGAACCTTTAGAAACTGTTTCTAAAGATGAAAAAAAAAAGGAGGCAAGGGCTGAAATGAAGGTTCTGGTGAAAACTATTTTTAAAGAATTTTAACTAAGGATAGACAAAGTTTATTCAAGTAATGTAAATAAAAAAATATTAAGCAAGTTAATATTTGAATTATTAAAATTAATGATCCTACATTTTAATTCATTATGAAAGTAGCTGAACAATTAATTAGGTACTTTACATTGTCATCAAAGAGGAAGACATCAAAAGGTACAAACAGGAAAACTAGATGCAAACAATTATTGTTTACATACAAATAGCTAATTAAATAAGGTAAAATCAATTGATATTTATATTATATTACTTGTATTAATTTTTATCTAATAATAAAGAAAAGGACACAAAAAATCAAAAATGCACAGTTACTTATTAACAAAAAGTCCAAAAGTATTGCAAGATATTGGAAGGAATTGATTAATATAGTTAAAAAACCATAAGTCCATTTGGCTGAAGAAAGTAAAACTGGTCCAAAAAATGATGATAAGAAGAAAATAAACATATATGACTATAGTTGGTGTTCTAATGATATTTTTTAATAAATGATTTTATATCGAATAATTAATTTATTACCAATTATTTTATAGTTAAAAAATTTATTGGAAAATTTGGATAAACATTTAAAGTCAATTCAACTATCTCAATCAACTCGTAAATAAAACTATAGCAAATATTATTGTCACAATGTAACTCTGCCAGAAAACATGTCAAGTTGGACTTGTAAATTGGAGGATAAAGAGTAAGAAATAGAACAAAGTAAAAAAGATAAATGATTGGTAAAAAAACATAAAAGATAAAGGATATCTGATTATAAGAAATTACTTATGTACAATCAACTCTCTTTAATTCGTCCCTCTTTAATTTGAACTTTTAATAATTCGGACACACATTTTTATTATTATTATTTTTTTTCATAATTATAAAATTTTGATAATTTGTCTATCTATATAAACTTATATTAATTCAGACAATAGCTTTGAAAAGTTGATGTCTGAATTAAAGGCAGTTGACTGTATTCAGAAAGAGAGAAACATCAAACTGGAGAAAGTGTATAAATGAGCAAAATTTGGGAGGCAATATTAAAGAAGAAAATTAAAGAAAAATCATAAGAAGTACAAGAATCATAAAAACCACAAAAAAATATTCCAAAGCAAAGAAAACTTGGTATTATAAAATCTTTGAGAGTTACAAAGGCCATGATGAAATCAGCAAAAGAAAAAGACAAAGATTATGAGCAGAAAAATTCAGATAAAGAAATAAAGGAATTTAGTGAATAATATGCAAATAATTATGAATAATTAATTAATGAATAATTAGCAAATAATTAATGAATAACTAATGAATAATTATTTTAAATTTTAAATTTTTTACTTTTTTAATAAATTTATCAAATATTAATTAAATTTTATTAAATATTATTATAAATGTAATTTTTTTATTGAAAATATACAATTTGATTTTATCAAAGTATATAATGCTAAATAATTTTGTTAACTTTATAATTAAATAATAAAAATTTATTCCGAATGCTATATACAGAATGTTGTAACTTTATTGTCAAATATTTTTTAACTAGAAATATTTTTTTGCCAAATGATTTTATTACCAAATAATTATGTTTTTTTAAAGTATCGAATAGCATAAATTGGACCAAACAACAAAACTTCAGTATAAACTTTTATTAATAAATTTGGATTTAATTGACTGTAATTCAGCAGCTGAATAATCCAATTTGGACTTGTGTAAAGAAAGAAGATTTATTTATTTAAAAAAAATAGATAAAATTTATAATAAAATTATTAAATGAGTAATGATAATCTGCAGGCTATAACATTATTATAATAAATAAGCTAGATTGAGAGGATATATATATACTGTACATATAATTCCTATTGTAATGATTTATTATGATTTAATAAATAAATAATTTTATTTTAATTGAGAAAAAATAATAAAAATAATAATGAAATTATTGAAATTTATAAATATATATATTAGCATATTGAAATATCAATTAAACTTTCAATTTTAATACTAACAAGTTTTTTTTAACAATCAAATCAGAATAAATTATTAATATTACTTTTGGTCATAATATTTATGATTGTCTGGATTTAAACATTCAATTTTTTTAAAATCTTGACAACTTTTAATGTGGTTATATGATCAAAACCTCATTATTTCTAGCTTAACCAATTGTCTTAATTACTTTTTTTACTTTGTGAAAATATTTCTATAATTCATTAAATTATTTTAACTGCAAGATGGTTTATTCTATAATGTCAAAGTTTAACTTGATTAAAATCCATGGTTTACGATTAAATTAATGTACTTGGTTTAATCAATTTCAATCACGATAAAATAATCATTCTCTACCCGACCCATGATATCCACCTCTTCTTGTGATGACCGGAAACTCAACCGTTGACAAATTTTTATGACCAACTTTCAATCCTGCTGTAACAATATCACCAGCATTAACCGGCCCAACTCCCGAGGGTGTTCCTATATAATATGCGAAAAAATGATCAGATGGAAAAAAAAATAAAATCAATCAACGCGCTTCATGAATTTGTAAATTTGAATGTAAAATCACCTGTCAGAACCAGATCACCCTCCTCGAGTTTCATAATTGAGCTAATATGCTCGAGTAATGATGGGATATCAAATATCATGTTCTTCGTGTTACCACTTTGTTTCATAATATCATTGACCTAAAAATATATGAATTTAACTTGATCCGCCATAATAGAATCAACATAAGATATGATAATTAAAGTCAAAAACCTTTAGCCATAAATGTACATCGGCTGGATTAGCAATTTTGTCTTTTGGAATAAATTCACTAAAAACAATATAAAAAGGTTTCATCACTCAATCATTAAGATAATCTAAACTCCGAGATCGATTAACACGCAGTTTTCACATCAATTGCATACCCAACTGGAGTAAATGTGTCAAATCCTTTCGCTGCACACCATGGAAGCCCCTTTTTTTTTGCTTCATCCTTTTTTTTTTTTTAAAAAAAATAACAAATAAAAAAAAAAAACCCCCCGGGTAATGAAATTTTGCCAAAAACTTTCGATGTTTCAAAAACTCATTACCTGTATGTTTCGAGCCGTCATATCTATTCCAAGTACGTATCCTAGATCATTTTAAACGTTAACTTTGTGCACCTCGAATTCATAATTCGTAAGTTCCGAAATATTTTTATTTACCAACAATATAATTAAACGCATTTTCGTATCTAATATCACGACCGGGTTTTCCGATTATTACCCCTAACTCGACTATTTACAGAAAAAACGTAAGCCAATTCGTTTAGTCAACGTTTGAGTAAGCATAATATCTCATCGGCAATTCTTTGATAAACAATACCTTCATGATGAACAGTAGCACCTTTAGGTATCTCGATGCTGCCACCTTGTGTTAAATACGAAGTAGTCGGTTTAAGGAAAAAGAAGGGTTGTTTCGGTACCGCGTTACCTAATTCTTTTGCATGTTCTCTTTTATATGCGATAAAAAAATCGATCAACCAATGAAAGCACCTGCAACAATGCAAAGTCTCAAATTCAAGTTTATCATCCTATATTTTACATATAATTACGCCCAATGGCCACTATCTTTTTCCCCGCTATTGCAAAGTTACTCATAATCTTTGAAAGGATTTTCAAGATTTTCGCATTCTAGCATATATATAATGATTTGCAAATATACAAACACGTGATATTATCTACCTTGATTTTTTTGTTAATATCGATAGAAATTAACATTTGTTTATTAATATTTAAAGAAATTGAGAAGTCAAACAAGGTACCTGATATTCTCTTCAGCAAACCGATTTTTTAATCAGTCATTATTTATAATAATACTAGCTTGATTATTATTGTCAGTACGTTCATGAAGTATTATTATGTTTGGTCAGTTAATATCAAAAAGTTATATCGTATTAGAGGCTTGAATAAAGGCTGGAGAAAATAGGAAGTTTTTTATTTATGGAAAATATAATGGATAAAAAGTTTCTTTTATGCGTGGAGTCTTAATTACCTAGTTTAACCATATCAACCAAATTTATTTGCAGAAACTTATTCATCATCATTAATTTATGAATCAATTGTTAAATTAACTAATGTTCATTTCTTCATTGGTTGTAATTACCATGACCATTTTCTTCATTCAGTATAGGGTCCAACAATTTCAGAACTGAATCCTGAAATACGAATTCAGAAAAATGTGATTTGGCGTGCTCTCGCGCATTTTCTTGAATTTCCCGAAAATCCTCTTCAGACATTGTTAATGCTTTATATAGTTCACTTGAAAATGAATCTATGTCGTTTGCGAGAAAGCCTAATAAAAGAAAAATAAATTGAGACTATATAATAAACATAGAGTGTATTACGAATGCGAGGTATGCAGAAGCATATATACCTGTCATTTGGTTATTATATGGGATAACAATATCCATCTTAGGTCCTCCAGAATCATGAGCCACAGGAATAACTCCGGATGCCTGTTAAATAAATTGAGCGTCAATGGCAATCATGGCAATCGTGACCGTCATTTCATGTCTCGCGGAAGTTTCCTCTAGCTAAACTTACCATATATTCGACAACACCAATTCCAAAATGTTCATTCCACATTGTATGCAGTCCTATCTTTGCTTTTGACAACCAACTAACAAGAACAGGGAAACTTGCATTGATTGCGAATTCTGTATTACTCTTAAATGTTTAATGAATGATATGAATCAGAAGATATAATGGTCACAATAATAATAGCAATAACCATAGTGACGTACCACAATATCCAACTGTTCGCATAATTTTCTTAACTGATCTATTCGACTCTGATCTTCTTCGTTACGGCAACTGCCTATTAATACCAATTTTATTTTCTCTGGACCATCCCGTAATTCGGGGTGATTTATCAACAGTTTGCTTAACGCTTGAATTTGAAGTTGATGATCTTTTTCTGGCCTTTGGCGTGTTATTATAGAAATGAGAATTTACATTAAGGCGTTTAGGTCACAATCAATTTATTTTTTAAAAAAAATTACCTAAATTGAGCAACACTAACTATTACTCTTGATCTCCCGTTCAATGGAATCTTTGATAGTTCTGATGTGTCGCACGGGGGATACACTATTTTGCTTTCTACACCCCATAGTGTGTCAATGTGCCCTTTGGTCCAAGTAGAATTTACCATTATTATCTCAGCGTATGAGCCGGCTAAAGAGTATAACCAAGCAAACATTCGATAGTATCTGAAAAGGGATCAGACAAATAGACATAATAATTTTTGAACAATGTGCAAACTACCTACATTATCTTGGCACTGCTAAAGATAATACTTTGAGCGATAAATCCCTGATTGTTGTATCCAGGGCGTCTTTCATGTACTCTCTTGAGCATATCTGAACTGGAATCAATAATTAAATCCATTAAATACATAATAATAATAATAATAATAATAATAATATGTAATATGCAATATATTCATAATAGTATGTAATATTAAAGTATTAAGTAATAATAATAATAATAATTCTAATTGTTTATTCCAATTGTTAAATACCTGATGGTGGGGTAATGCACGTATGCAGCAACTGTACATCCAAAGATCTTTTTCGCGAGGGGGTATGTAAATGCATAGCCCATTGTGTCTGCATATTTCATTGAAAAAGAAATGTTATTCATGTGTGAAGTCAAATGAATTCATGGTAATTCATGGATGATACCGAAGAATATGTCCGGTTTCAATTTGTCAAGAGCTTCGTACCCAAGAATTATCGAGCCGATACTTTGTCCCAGTAAAGTAAAACGAGGATACCTACACAGAGCATCAGAATCATTCGAGGAACTGTTCAGCGCAAAATACAAATCATACCTTTTGTCCTCCACCCAATGACGTTTATTCAAGAATACGAATTTGATAGTGTCCGAATTAAGTTTAATGCTAAATCGCGTCTAATAATAACCAAGATGTTAACCGCGTTTGCTTTTTTTTTTTAAAAAAAACAATAATAGTCGATAAACAAGGATTTACCTCAGCCCGATTTAGCATATCTTCTTTCGTAACTTGACTATCTCCGGTATACACGACACATATGACATGGGGATATTTTTCTTGGATGATCCGTATGGTTGTCCAAAGTACCCGTTCGCCACCACCACCTGCATTACTATTTAATTCCCATTGTTTAGAGCGATTCTACTCTAGGAAAGAAAAAACGATAGAGTTGCAACACGGTTACATGTGTACATGCATTCTGTGTCACTTACCAGTATGGATGAAAGAATCCGAGTAGTAAAGGGTTTTTGATTTTGTTAGAATCGATGGTATCAAGAAAATCCTTTCGTTTCCTAAATGAGCGAATTAAAACACGCCTTTTCAGGTTAACATAAATAAAATAAAGGGCGGTAAGGACACCGACGTTTAGCAATATTAGGATCTTTAGCGCATTCGATATGTTTAATGTTTCAGCCATGTTTCAGGAATTTTTGGAGAACCAAGAAACCAAAATGGTCTTTTTATATGTATCATGCTCCCTTTTTTAAGCATAAATCACTGATAGCCATTTGGCTTATGATTATTGGGTGCTTGAAAATTGGCACGTGATTCAAGTTTTTAAGGCGGAAGAAAATTAAAGTATTTTACTATTACGAAATTAAAATGCGAATTTGCATTGCTAATAAAAATATTGCGATGAAGTCGAAACTTATTTCTTATTATAATTATAATACTTAATATATTAACTACATTATTAAATAAAAAAAGTTTTTTTTTTATACATAAGATGAAATTCCAATCAATGGAACGGTGAAAATGGCAGTAAAATATTATGATGAATGTTTTTTTGTATATAATAAAAATGTCTTCAAAAATATATATGCGATCACCAATACTGGATCAAATCATATATTTCGGCCGCTTCGCTCGTGTTATCAGCTTGCATGGTAGCGGCTTTGAGATTATACAATTCAGTTTCGGAGGCCATATGTTTAATTACGGCCGGATTATGGGTTTCAGGGGGAAAAAAGTCTGATTTTACAAGTCTATTCGTATATAACAAAGCTCTGGGATGATTTTGGTTAGCTATACATTGTCCTTTCTGTTTCTCTATTTTTACTAGAATTTTACGTCTTTCCTCGGCCCTTTGAAATTCTGCCGACGATTCAGTTGAAATGGCATCACAAAGCTCTACGAACCATATTCCTATGGTCTCCTGAAGCTCGTCGGCAGATGGCCGTTTCAACGGATCACCCTCCAAACATCTTTGCATCAGACGTGCATAACAATCCGGTATATTCTCGGTTATCTCTGGTCGCAAACCTTGGCCTATCTCTAGTACAGCAAAATATGAATTGTGTGATTGTCCGGCGAAAGGTTCTTTGTTCGTTGCCAATTCCCACATTATACACCCAAAACTGTAAATATCTGCAGACTTTGTGTACGGTTTGTTCTGTGATATTTCGGGGGCTACGAAAGGTAAGGCTTTACATGATTTATTACCGAGAGAATTTGACCTCCCATACATTCCAAGGTCACCAATCGATGCCACATGCGAGTCTATGAGAACATTGCCGCTATGTAAATTTTGGTGCATTAAATCCTTCTTATGTATACTGGCAAGACCGATGGAAACACCGTAAAGAATTTCCAACCTCCTCTGCCACGTTATGCTGAGAGGATTCCTTGTCAAATATCTTGTGAGATCGCCATCACGCGCATACTGTAAAACCCACATGTAATTTTTCGTATCTGGGTCTCGTGAGATTCCCAGAAATCGTATTATGTGAGTTCCACCATTATTCTCGCTGCGTAAAAAATCTCGCAGCTTTTCGTTTGCAAGAATGCATATATATAAATCGCCGTTAATAATTTCGAAAGGAAAAAAAAGAAACCCATACAATTGGATCAATTTGTGCTTACCCCTTCGAGGAACTCTTGAGAAATATTTTGTGAATTATCTAAAGATTTTAATGCGACTGGATACATTCCTTCCCTCATATATTGATTTATACCTTTATCCCACTTGTCACGTGGACCATCAATCCAAATGGAACGGTAGACGCTGCCGAAACGTCCTGATCCAACGTATCGAACGTCACGAAGCCTATCATAAGGTATCCATTCCAGATAGTCAAAGCAACTTTTGGCGTCAAGCTGAGTTTCCAGTATGAAACAATCGATGTCATCATTTCCGCTCGTCCACGTGCCAAACTTTTCTTCGAACCTTTTGGACTCACAGGATTGACACCAATGAGCGTGGTGGCCAACAATCGCCATCTTTCTTTTGCATAGTGGGCAGATGGTCGAATCTGATTCGTAGAACTTGCTTACAGTGGTCATATCCTTGAACTCGGCCAACAATTCATCGGATGTAATTTCAAGGGAAATTTCTTTCATGTGGTCAATTTCCGAACTCGATAATGACCGTTTTAGCGTATTCTCGGAATATTTAATTTGCGCAATGTGAAAGTTCATCGGTCGATCGGTCGTCTTGTCATGTAATTTGTTATACCTGTTTGGCATCGACTTCCTGGTTATGTGACGAACAGAATGGATGCTGAGTTGACTGTGCCTTGTCAATTTCTCTTTCTTCGCCACCAGAATTGTTGCCGGAGTCTCTTCCTCAACTTCTTCGGCCAAGTCCTCTAATCTCATCTTCTGATGGCTGCTGTCGTCGATCGACCTGGGGTTTTTTAGAAAGGCTTCAGCTTCTATTTGAGAATGGAAATCACCGCTCAAAATTGTCGCAAGGTTACGAGTGCTATCCGCGGACTGACTTCTGTGATGACCAAAGTTGAATGGGTCAACCACAGCGTACCGCCGTTTATCTACGGTAAATGTTCTTGCTTGGGAATCTACCACCTGGGACTTCCTTGGCGATATGGGAAGACTTTGGTGTTTCTTCTTTTGCGCAGGGTGATAGTCAAACCTATACCTACGACTTGAAGTAACTGCAGGTTCATTTTCTTGCTCTTCCTGCCGCTTCAAACGATTTTTAGCCACGTCACCCGCCTTTGGTAAACAATAGGAAAGGATTTTTTATGTGGGCGGGAGAAAAGAAGAGAAAAAGGAAAGTAGAAAAAAAAAATCATGTATATCCCCCACCTTGCTAATCCATCTAAACAGCTTTCGCACCATACGGATTTAGTTAAGAGCAGAATCTTTTCCAATTGATGACAAGCTATTCTCTAAATTCCTGTGGGAAGCCCATTGGTTATGGATTTTGTAGCAAATGTTTCAAAAAGTTCTGAAACTACAGAATCCGAGTGCTTTTATACTTGAATTACAAATGTTACCTGCATTGTTCCGCAGACATGCAAATATATTTAAAGTAATTTATCCTGAGAGGAATTAGCAATTTAAAAACCACCACACATGATTTATAACAATGGTTCGGAGGGTGTTTCAGATAATTTTTGTGCCAACCGAATTTGAATTTCAGATCGGAATAGCATCATGACCCTATTCTGACAACATTCTTTTTATTGGTGTATTATGTGTATCTTATGTGATGCACTACTGGACGCGAAATTATAGTTTTTGACAATTTCACTACGGCAATGTTTTGGTCTCGAGACCTTTCGAGAGTTATTAATGGTTAGAGACCTTGTGCAAAAATTGTAAATAACCAGAAATCAGCATAATAAAGACCATGTATTAATTCTCTGCATTATCTATTTGACCCTTTAGTAGATACAAAACAGACATGGTTCACTTTTCATTTTCGACATAAACAGAACGGAATGTAAAAATAGCTTCGTTAATGCAGTGTACGTCATCGACCTTTTATTTTTTATTTTAGTCCGTCCAGACGATTTACCACTCTTGATAAATTGATTTCCCGCCAAAAAAAAAAAAAAAAAAAAAAATTCAATTCTATAAACGCCCAATAAAAAGGGGTTGCGTATCATGTACGTTAAATTTCATTGCATCTACCATACGAATAGATTTACGACATTCAGAAAAAAAAGGTGCAGTGCTTTATTTGCAACACGCATCCACAAAAGTGTGCGTGATACACAATACAGTAGTGTAATTAATAGGTAGCATAATGATGTTGGTAGTATTTGATGACTTTTTGATGACTGCACAACATAAGCAGTAAATAAATTTCTCAGTTCAGATTTTCAAAAGCTCGATTGTTTGTGCAGGATTTTTTGTTTTAGGTGTTTCGTGGAACAATTTTAATGAAGCCTTCATGACATTATCCTTCCTTGCCCGTGGGGAAGGAAGATTTTCTTTACAAATGGGCATTCATGCATAGCGAATTTCTTGATTGTAAAACCGTCATTCCATAGCCGAAAGCCGATAACAATCGAATCGTTTAATCAATCACCTATTCTTCGTGTCCGTATTTTGCATTATTGTTCTTTTCAAAGGACCCTGCGTTGTATTGTGGACTTTTTCTTTTTTCTTTATTGTTCCCAGAGAAATAATTGGCTGTTACGCGATATCAACTTTGATGAAAAACCTTGTGACACATCCACAGGAATGTCGGTACATATGTAGAAATATGAATTTAATTTCGTGAATATAAACAAGAAACCTTAAATTTTTTTTTAAGAAATTGCCGCATCACAAACACCAAACAAACTTTACGAACATCTAATACATTTAAAAAAATCATATCGATATACAACCCTTTTTAATGATAATCACATGCCTAACAGGTTTATACAAGTTAACGTCGACGTTCGAACTTTAATATTGTTGACACGTATAAACAATCGACTTCAAAAGCGTATGGGTTTATCAAATAAAGAGGGAAGAACCGCAATTGGCGCAATTGGCGGAATTGGCACAACTCTAGCATCATCTTTTTAGATTTCGAGCATCCGAGTAACTTGAAGATTTATTGTTAAGTTTAACATCTTAAAGAACCTCACCATAAGCGCCTTAAACGACGGATTTTTATCATGTTTGTTGATAATTTGTTTGTAATAATCATTAAATGATGGTTACAAATAAAATGTACGATATATCGTAATACACATTGAGAGATTTCAATCGGTGAAATATCCTGTAGTTTCATCCTACAATCCATCAAATCCATCAAATTGTATTATCTACCATCGCATCATGACTTTTATTTTTATTTTAAGCAGTCCTCAAAATTCGTCATTGACAATATTATCACCGACACGTTTACTATCAAATAAGAATCAATTAAAAGTGTATTTTTTTTCGATGTCCATTTAAATTAAGCAAATGCAGGTTTTTTTAATAATCAACTTAAGGGTCAAATGTACAATCCATTTTCTATTTACAATATAACATACGCGTTCATTGATTATTGTTTTTTTTTTTAAAAAAAATATTTTTTTTTTGAATTTTGTAATTTAATTATCTTATGTCTCAATCCATTTTATCACGTATTGCAAATTAAAAATAAAATGATGTTTAAGCAAAAGAATTTTTTTATTTGGAACCAAATGTAATTTATTTTTTCTCAAAAAATAATTTTTTAAATACGTATATTGTATATAATATATACATTTTTTAATTAATCTCAAAATCAAAGTTAACCATTTTTTTTAATTTATATATACTATATACATATTGTTAAAATATTTTACATTTGTTGTTTGTGATAAATCATTAAATTCTTTATTATAAAATAATAATAATAATTTTTTTAAAATCTTATTATTGTTAAAATTTGATTGTTTATCATGTTAAAACAGTATTACAATTATTTACAATTCAATTTTTTTTATTTTGTAATAACTTATTTTATAAAAATCTTTTTTTTTTTACATAATTACATTTATTTATTTATTTATTTTTATTTGATAATTCAAATAATGGTTTTATAATTAACATAAACAATAAAAATTATTTTGTTCTTAAAATAGACGGTTGTAAAAATAACTATCTTTTAATAAAAATAAACTCGTCTAGTAAATCTAGATAAGATATGGTGTATAAAAGGAAAAAAAGAAATGGTAATATTAATAATGGTTAATATCCGTTTACGGAGCTTTTTGAACGTGTATACGATGCAACAATAATTACCTCCTCTTCAAGTTATGATAATTTAGCATCGAGAATGAGTTACATTCGTATTTTTCCGAAGCAGTATTACTCGATCTACAATGAAATTTTCGACCTCTAGATCTAATTTAGATAATTTTATTGCGTGTCAAATAATACCGAAGATCAAGGTATGTAAATCTTATGTATTAGAAGGTAGGATCATCAGACTTAGGATGAGTGTCTGTCTTATTTAAAATTAGAAATATGATAGCTACCATTTCGAACATTCTTTGACAAACATTCTTTGGATGTATCATTTTTATTAGGAATTATCGAACTGCAAACATTTAAATTACATATATGCGCATACACCTTTTCGGTGGTCACGATAGAAACCGATGTTTTATTTTTTTTTTTAATAAACTTGGTATTTAAAAATATATCACTATTTTACACTAGAAATAATGTTACAAATAATCAATGTTTTCGTTTCCGTTTTTTTTTTTTAAAAAAAATCCATCAAAGAGGAACCTTCATTCCTACATCGATGAGGTCATCGACTGGGATGTTCCAAGTCCCATGTACTTGACGCGAAATGTTTACAAAGAATCCATATGCACCCACTAAAAATTTTCTCCACGTAGAACGCGTTTTTGGAATAAAAGAAGGTTGACTTATCACATAAGTAATCACGTTATTTTCATCAACATTTGATAATAAGCTTGCTCTGGCAGGATCAACTATGCAAAGTGCATTCAACAATTTCTGTAGGAATTCATTCCCTTGAGAAATATTCTCCATGTAGCCATATCTCGCGATTGCTTGATAGATGCCTTCATAATTCCCGATTTTTTGTACGACCAATCGATCCTCTTCACCAACGATGGGAACGGCGACTGGACGGATTGTCATGAAGATAACAGTTTCAGGGATAGCTGGAAAATGTTCAACAAAATGACTAAACGATAGTGGAACACCCATGCCAGCTTCTTTATAGAAGAGCCCAATGCCAGGAAGACGGTTGACTGGAAATTTTGTTTCTAAAAGTCGAAGTACAGAGGTTTTAGATTCAACAGATTCTTCAATTTCCTCTGAACTCTCTTTAACTGGTCCTTTGGAATCCTTTTCGGTGTTATTTAAGGCTTGTTCATCGAATATGTCACCAAGTTTAGTCTTGCGGCTAAGTTCAAATCTAACCCTTTTAGTTGTTCCCCATTTCCATAACAGCATAATGAAACACAATATAACGGCAATAGTTAAAGTAAAATAACCGCCGCTTTTAACCTTTAACAGTGTAGCACTCAGAAAACATGCGTCAATGAACCCGAATAATACGAAGAAGGCAACTGCCAAGTATACCGGGAGCCCGAATACAATGACCATGACGATTGCGTAAAGAATGGTAGATAGAAACATGACGCTACTAACAGCCACACCTAAATAATATAATAAAAATCCATATTAAAAAACAAAGTCAAAAAAGTGATTTCAATGATTTTTCGCGTACCGTAAGCTATGGTTAGATTTGCAGAGTGCTAGTTGAATGAACAGCAGGAATAGCAAAATATCAACGTTGGTTTGTCGTCTTCAAAACGATAAACAACATCGATAAGTATCATGACGTACCTCAGCTACTATGATAACAAGCACAATCCCGACCATTAATATGTAATTTATCTATATATATATATAAAAGAAGTTAAGACTTGCGCTCAACGAAAATCAAAAATTTATTAAAAGTATTACCTCCGGTATATAAATTTGTCCCTCAACTTTCTTGGAGGTGTGAATAACCTTTTGGAAAATACAAAATTAAATCGTAAATTAGAGACAAGGTACAACGAGAAAATGTATGGTACAACAAAGTTACCTTGACTCGTGGGAAACAATCCAATTGCATTGCTTGATAAAGTAACGAGAAGGTAGCGGAAATCATAGCCTGAGAGGCAATGATAGTGGCAAAAGTGGCTAAAACAAATGAAGTCCAATAAAACGGCCCGTTAAGATCCGGCAAAGTATTCCAAAATGTGTTCTCGATTACTGTGGGGTCTAAAACAAGACGAGATGCCTGGCCACAATAGGCTAATATTAATGGCGGGTAGGTAAAAAGCGGAAAAGAAATCTGGATAGAGTGGCGGTTGAAATGACCTAAGTCGGCATACAAGGCCTCGACACCCGTGACGGCTAAGAGAACACCACCAAGAACCTCGAAGCTATCCCCACCGTTACGAACAAAGTAATTGATAGCATAATATGGGTTATAGGCCTTTAGGATGGATGGATTTTTTGAAATGTTCCATATTCCTATGGAAGCAAGAGAGATAAACCAAAGACTAACAACGGGTGCAAAGAAAACGCCAACTTTTTGTGTCCCAAAACGTTGTCCTAAAAATAAAGCTATTATTATGACACTATATTTATGAAATTATAAATGTTAATGGCATCAATAATAGTCTCTAATTTAGAATATTGCATTATATGATGAGAAATTTACCAACTAATAGGGACAACAGCATTAGTTAGAACCGGTGCAGGAATTGCGATGCCTTCGACGGCGGAAATTACGGATATGGCAGGCGTGAGCAGCCCATCACTCAACACCAAAGATGTTCCGAGTAAAACTACGGTCAATAAGATATTTTGCACAGTTTTACTGCGTTTGATAAAATTTGGCTTCTCCCTGTTAACGCTATGTATGGACACAGCGTCATAATTCGTAATTGTCAAATCGTCAATGCGACTTTCACCTCGAACCGATATTCCGGAATAACTGTGGGAGTTGATAAATCAATATTTGAATCATTCATTCATTACCTGAAAAAACGCGCGAAACGTGCAATTACGGAACTTACCGGCTTAGCAGTGAATATAAAGCAAAAGTACCGCCTTCACCATTATCGTCAGCTCTCAAAATAATGATAACATATTTGAACAACGGTATAATTGTCTAATTGTATAATTGTACGGATTTAAAAATGAGTATAAGAAAAAAACAATTATATTTGTTAACGTGAAACATACAAGGGACCATATAATTAAAGACAAAGCGCCTGTAAAATAAACGATACATTTCAGTAAAAAATCGTGTACGATTAATTAATAAATTACTATGTACATACCAACGACATCATCCGCGGATGGAGGATTTGACGGGTCGGAACCAAAAATACCAGTAAATACATATAAAGGTGAGGTACCGATGTCCCCAAAGATGACACCTAAAAAAGGTAATGTGAACGACTATTTGGTTATGAATAGATATAATAGTAATAAATTACCAATTGACTGGAAGGCCAACCACATAGTCCCTCGGATCCCAATATCCTACAAAAGATTAAAGAAATCGATCAATTCCCTACATATAATTCATTCTCTTAAAAACAAACTTAATACCTTCCGAATTTGTCTGTGTCGGTTCTCAAGGTCCGACTCAAATGTCATTTTTGCTCCGTTCTTGATATCGGTCATTTTTACGAGTTAAATTTCTTTCATTAAGATATTATCATTAATACCCTTTTTTTAGGAAAAAAAAGTGATTTTATGGAATGGTTCTCCGAAGAAGATTTATAGGAAAAAAACGGACTGATTGTTAGTCCAGCTTAAGCATCGTTCGAGATTCTAAGCAGAAAGTTGACTGTTCCAGACAGAAATTTTATGTTTTACAACATTTCATTCTTACCCGATATACCTTGATATCTGTCAATCCAGAATTGGGATCTGTCCTATTCGCAGATTCGCAAGACAATAGAATTAAATTACGCCCTGAATATACGCATCAACTTGTAATTAGATGTTATCTGCAGCACGTGCCCTTCAATTTATGCGCGCGGAATCTGAACATCTTGGCGGTGTTTGTTTACTGTACTAAAGAGGAATCGAAGTCCGCCGAAAAAAGAAAGCTGTAGTAACATGTAACCAAAACTTTGGATGTGTGATAATTGTTCGGCACGCAAATTCTTCACCCTTAAAAATAGATAAGCCAAACTTCTTATTTTGATAAACATTTGTTTTGAATGAAATTTATATATTAACATATTTTAAAAATATTGTACTACATAATAAAAAAATTAAATATTGATATCTTGAAATCTTATTTTATTTACTTTCGAAGAGAAATAAAATCTTTTCTTGCTTTAATAATCTAAAAGTATGATTTAAAACATCAAAGCCATATTAAAATTAGATTGATGGAGATATAAAATGAAACTTATATTAAAAAAACAATTGAATTCAGCTCTTATCTATCTTTGAATTTTACATTGCTTCATTATCTTTGTTACTATTAGATAATATATATGGTGTTTTATTCTTTCATATCTTTTATTTTAAATATGGGTTTTTTATCATCTATAATATTAAAAATATTAAAAATAAATGTTTAGATGGAACTTTTTATTGATTTTACAAATAATAAATCCGAATAAATTATTTGTTATTACGTAATTTATTAATAATTAGTAAATTGATTTAATTAAGAATGATTTTAATCTAATTTCTAAATAATGGTTTAAAATTGATAACCGATTGATTTGATATAATATTCTTGATATTCAATTCAAAAAAAAATATATTAAATTTATTCTTAAAAAAACTAAACTTATTTTGATAACATATACAAGAAATATATAAATTAATTGATTAAGTTAATTATTCAACCACTAGCAATTATATAGATATCAGGAAGCAACAAACATATATAACTATAACTCTTTAGAATAATAAAATAGTCAATATTGCTTCAAAAATTTTTATTAAAGAAATTAACAAAATATTAAATTGCAAATATAAATCACGACAAGAAAAATATATTTTCAAGTTAATCAATAAGAAAAATTTGATTAAACCAATTTAAATTAGCTTTAAACAAAATAAAATTTTTAAATTATTTAAAAAAAGCAAAAAAAAACTTTTAAATTAAATTAATACACAATAAACTATTAATATTAAATAAGCTTAAAACAAAAAAAAATATTCAGTATTATTCAACTATTGTAAACAAGTTAGTATTTAACTTATTGCAATTTGTACATGAAAATATTTTTTTTTTTTAAATATATATCTTTTAATAAATAAATAAATATTATTAATTATATATGTATTTATGTTATTATAAAAGAAGATTTAATTAACAGTACAATTTCAAATTAAATATAATTTTCAATTATTTGTTATTTGTTATTTAGTAATTTTATTATAATACAGTTTTTGAAAAATATTAAATTTAATTTTATTATAGTTATAAAAAAAAAGTAATAGATAAATCATAGAAAATTATAAAAGTAAGTATAAAAATAAATATATCAAATATAGAAATTTAATATTTGAAAATTTAAAAATTATAAAATTATATAATAATATTTAAATATAAAAACAAGTTTTTAAAATAGTTAATGTATAAAATTTTATAAATTTGTTATTTTTTTTTGAAAGAAATATAACTATTTACTTATTTTTTTAATAAGAACAAATTTTTAAAAAATATTTGAATTAAGTAATTTAAATTACAAAAAATTTTTATAAATAATTTTTTTGATTTTATATTTAAAAAAAATTTTTTTTAATAAAAAACATTTGAATTATATTTTTATTTTTAATTTAGAAATTTATTTTTTTTCTAATAAAATAATTAATAAATAGTTAAATCATATAAATAATATAGTAGTTTTATTTTTTTTATTTTTTTTTGTAGGTAAACATCATTTCTTTATTTAATTTGTATATAGCATGGTATATATTGTGAAAGAAACAACATCTCTCATACGTTAGTACAATGAGTTAAATGCTAGCTTGCCTATAGTAATCATATGACTAATATTAAAAAGAAAGTTTAAAACAATATATCTTGTCAGATGGCACCGAGCAACTATGAATACCTACTCAGCATCAGAGGAAATCGAGTTAATATTAGCAAATAGAGTTGTTAAGCTATAAATACATTTGAAGTAGTTATATTTAAATTGGATGAATGAATTAGCAACAGTAAAAGATAAGTCAATGATAATGTTTTCTTGTGGATTGTTGAAGTTGTCTTTGGTTTGCGAGGTTTTTTTAGTTTCTGGGTTGGTGGAGTTGATTGAATTATGTGACTTAGCATAGTTCCACTTGATTCCAATAAGAGGTGAAGTGTTGGCTATGGAGTAACGTGGTTTCCAAATTAGATCATGTAACAGGGTTAAAGATTCTGTTGCTGCCTTGATCCAGTTGATAAAAGTTGAGGTGGAGAAGATTTTGTCTGAGATTCCATATGACAATTTGACAGCTTGCCATATGTGAGAGATTGGTTTGTGATTATTGTCTGGATGGAGAGTTTGATTAATGGTTTTTATGATTTGTTTCGTTGCTTGTAATGCTTCCGAACATTTGAAAACATGTTGAATGTTTTTGGTATAGAACTCGCATCGTGGACATAGAGCATCTGGATATTGGTTAGGATATAGTTAATGAAGTATGAGGCGAGTTGGAAGAGTTTCCAAGAGCAGTTTAACTTTAAAGGCTACTAGGGTGCTGTACTTGTTGTTATGGAATTTTTTGATGTTTTTGTTGGATTGGTTGATGACATTTAGACCATGTAGAATATGTGTTCATCTGAACGTTTGAATGACTGAGAAGCTTTCACATACCATATAGTCTCTGGTGATATTGAAAATTTTCTTGCACTATCTGATGCTACTACCTAGGCAAGTATTGTTGATTAAAGGATTTTCAGGAAAGTGTAGTAGGAGATTGTTCCATTGAATGGTTCTAGTTAATATTGGTCTGGATTTAGATTTGGTATATATAATCTCTATGGATTTCTGTTGTATACTTCGATTTATTCTCTGAGATAGCAAGAAAAAGTTGATTTTGACCATTCTTCTTGGGTATTCAGATACTGATTAAAGAATTTTTTTGTTGTTTCTGATTTCGATGGTAATGTGAGCTGGAATTCCTTGAATAATATCAAAGATTGCCAGTAGAATGTTGCCTGGTGGTAAGCAGAAGTTGAGTAATCTTATTTCCATTTCATTTATAAATAGGTTACTTTTGTGTGATTGAATATGGTAATGTTGCTGCAGACTGAGATCTTGTAGTAATGATTGGGGAGAATGATTGATAGAAATATTAACTTCTTGGAGGATATGTTCGTTGTTAGGAGGTGAGTTGACAACTTCATCGATTATATTGAGCAAGCAGTATTTGAATCTGTTAAAGGAATTAAAAGAAATCCATAGTGTGAAAGCTGATATGCTTGTAAATGATATCCAACAGAAACCATGAGAGAATGTGCCAATTGGGCAGCCTGAACATCTAGTAAGATTATTGTTAGGGTCTATAGTAAAATGTTTACCTCTGAGTGGTATTTTTCCGTCTATCAAAATGTATTTTTTGCGAGTTTTGACAATTGCATTTATATTGTACAGAAACCAAAATATTGTCTTAGGATTTGAAATTGAGCCATGGGTTCCAGAAAGATTTTTGATATTTACAAATGTTTTGAACCAATTAGGCTCCAGACCCAAGCGAATTATTCCTGTATGTGTAGCAAGTTGTGGCCAGGAAAGTTTGGTGGTGTTATTATATTTTAGTAGTTGATTGATAAACTTTATGTTAAGAGTATTGGTTGTATTGATTGCTGTTTTTTTAAGTTGTGATTGCATGTTGGTGAATAGAAAACCGATTGAGTTTTCCACGTTGTCGAGATGAAATGAATATTCTGTTGGACAAATTTGAATTTTGAGATTTTTGGCTGATTTTGCAGCATATAGTATCCAATTTTCCTGATTGAATTTCTTTGGGTCACAAATGGGGCAAAACCAGATAGCCTTTTTTGTTTGGATGGTATGAATTTCTTGTATTATATATTTTCTAATGAAGGGAATAGAGAGTTTGGAAATGAGGTTTCCTATTAAGGTGGTCCTTTGTTTTTTTTCTAGTACTGTCAGGTTGAGGCTGCTATGGCTAACTAGGATTATATTGGAGCATTTTAATGAAATCTTATATGCTGACTTCACCAGTTTGTTGATTTTGGTTTGAAGTATGTTGAGGATTGTTTTGTTAAGAAATGAGGAGAGTAGAAAGTACTCGAACTTCCTCATAACAATTCAGTCATTGATTTGTTGCTTAATTTCTCCTTTCCAATTGTGTTTAATTAGTTCTTCGAAAATTTGTGATGACGTCTGTAGAAATGCTCTTCTATTAACCTTATTAAAATTTCTGGGAGAAATTAGTGTTCCAAGGTATTTAATGCTTTCGTATGGTTTGAGAATTTGAATATGGTGGTTGTTGAATTTAATAGTATTTTGAGTCCCTTGCTTCACTTTAATATTGTTAATTATTTTTGTTTTGTCTTTATTGCACGTGATATTGTTTAGTGTGAAAAATTGGTTGGCCACACTTAGAAGATTTTCCATTTTTTGTTTGAAGTCTGCAATGAGTGCTAGGTTATCCATGTATGCGAGTATATTGGGAGCCACGTATTCTCGAACTGA